ATCCGAGGTCTGATACCCAGACCTCGCATGTGTGATAATACGTCATTTACCACCCCGCCACTTTCGTCCGTTCGTGCTAGTAAGTGACCCCTGGATGGTGGAAGACTAAAGTTGATCCGAGGTCTGATACCCAGACCTCGCATGTGTGATAATACGTCATTTACCACCCCGCCACTTTCGTCCGTTCGTGCTAGCCGCTGCAGAAACTAGAACTTCTATTAGTTCCTCTAGCTTCTAGAAGTTATTAGACCCTCAATTGCTTGACTACCTAATTTCACAAGATTTGTAGCTTACTGTCGTTCTTGCGGTTCAAGTAGCATGTAGAATTAGGAGATGTTTAGTGATGGCTCGGGTTCTCATCACACCATTGCTATTGCCCTTTTGTAGTACTCAATGGCCTTGCATTTAAATGAGTCATCATCGGGTCTCATGGCCTTCTTAGCTTGAATTTGCATTTTTGAGTAAATACGCTTTTATTTTTTCTTTAGTCAGTGTGTTCGCGATGTGTTTGAAGACAAACACTTCGGCAACACACTGACTGAAGATAAAATCTCATGGAAAGAAAAGAGTTTCCCTTTGTCCTTTCTTGGATATGGGATTTCGTAAGATATGGGCCGTTGAGAGAGTATGGTGTCTGTGTGTCCTTCCCGAAGTGATGTCAGCGGCAATGACGTTCGTAGGACAAACTGCTTGGAAATAGTGTATAGCCACCTATTTGTTGGACGGTAATATGGGATAGTATGTTAGCGATAATACCTCTAACTGCGTAAGAAAAACTACTGAGTACACAATCAGCAGGATTAGCAGGTATTGGGATGGCATCGTTGCTGAAAGGGACAAACCACTTTCTTTATTCAATGGCGACGCCCTGAGAAATAGGAGTCGATAGCTGAAATCGGTACACAATAGATAGCTCACAAATTTTGTAGTGTTGGGACGAATTTGATTCTTTCTCCAATGTCTCTATCTCTCCAGAGCCGGTAATTGGTATCAAACTAGTTCGGCAGGATAAAATCCCTGACTTGTATAGCAGTTGGCCATCGCAAATTATAGTATAGGCCAAAAACGCCTTCAAAACGCCATACGATGATGAATTAAGGGTGAAATCGTGAGCTCATCTCAGTGATAGCATTTTACTGCTGGGTTTTTGAGGGTTGTGCTGCATGAAGCCGCTCGTTGAGGCATAATGGACATCCCCTGCAAACTGACGTTGTTTGTTGTTGTTTTTTTTTAATTCAAGGATATATTGCATTTGGAAAGTGAAGATGGTGTAATGGCAAATTGCGCACTAACATACACATGCAAGCATGGTTGCGGGTTCGAAACCTAGGTCGATTTCCGCGTAGGCCAATTACTCATGGGTCCGGACTTGTATGGGAGGACAAAAATACTGACTTGGACAACGGCTGGCCGCCGCAATTCATTGTATAGGCCACATATGCATCCAAGTGCCACTAAGTTTCTAAATGGAAGTCGAATGCCGGGGCGCACTCTAAAAATTGAATTGATCAATTTCAAAACGCTTAATCCTCTGTATTACCACTGCACGCATAGGATACATAATCAGTATACTCGCATCTGCTTTACTAGTTCTGAGGCGTGGCACGTGTAGGTAAACATTCGCAAACTACTAGCATGTCCTGAAAAAACAGATGTGCCATTGTGATGGAACCAGATTGTTCCCAACAAAAATGCTGGGCAGGCTCTGGTTCCTCAATGTACACGTTTGAGGGTGTTGACAAAATCAGTTTCAGCTCCACTGGAGGAAAATTTCGCCACATAACGTCTTTCGGCTACAGTACCCTCCATAATTTTGTTGGTGCTTGCAACTGTTATCTTCAAAATTCTGCACTACTCTGTTTTTTTTCTTATTTGTTGACTTTTCTAGCGGGAATACTTTGAACGTCATCAGAGGTCACATGCAATCAGTCATATCGAACCTCCTTTCTGCTGAACCTTGCCCTGAAGCGGCTACTTCGGAGCGAAGTGCCGTTTCCTAACCTGGGCAGTATCTGCTATGTAGTTATCCCCACAGATCGCATAGCCTCTTAGTTCGATGCTCTGATCATTCTTTCAGTCAAATCCCTATTCTACACTATTTAAATTTATATTTTTTAAACTTTAGCTTGTGTTAATTTACTATACAACAACTACCTTCATCAGGTTAAATAGTTTAGACGTTTACTATTCAAAAGCCTTGATATGGCACAGACAGAGCAGTGCCAAGTTATCCATCGGCCGGTCAACTGGTAAAAGTGTGCAGTGGGAAAAAACCTTGTACATACATATATCGGCGGGCCATTGCAAGTCATGGGACAGACCTACAGACGTATCATAATGCCACATGAGGCAAACTAATGTTATATCCGCTCACAGCAGCTCATAAGTTCTACACCCGAAAGGGCTGAGCCGACGATCACAAACATAAGAGTCTCTAAAAGAACCAGTCTAACCTTTGACCTTCGCTTTCACTAATTTTTTAATTTTTATACTAATTCTGGACATCGAATAAATTAAAACAACTAAATGAACAACATCGGAATCTTGCCTGCTTTTCTTACATACTTCCTTTACTACCTCTATCGACGCCGTCGACATTGTTCGCTTCCAGAACAAGTAACCAATTTCTTAAATTCTGAAGTTTAGGTGTGAACGGATAGCGGATAGGAGGTGGACCGTACCAAGCGTTCTCCACTTAGTCCTGCGACTTTTTCCTTGAATGGGTGAGAAAACTTTGTCACATTGTAAATATGAGTTATTAAAAATCATAAATCCGGCAGTTTTCAGGTTACGACTGACCTAATCCTTTGAAACCATCCAATGGGCTGAATGGCCACGTATGAAGGATTGGAAACTGTCAGGTCGGTTCTAAAACGCGTTGGGTGTACCGTAGTTTTTCATCCCAAACTTTTATTCTGATAGAAGGAAACCTTAGTGGACGAGATTCAGATTTTTGCAGAAATTTATTTGAAGAAATTAAATTTTTTATAATCAGTGTAGCTACGCTGCTGTGCTCCCCCTAAAAACATTTATGGATGCATTTCCCAAAAGACGAGGGGGCTTAGGACTGCACGATTTAGTCAGCTCCCGTACGATTGATGTCTTTGGAAGGTGCTATGGAATGATGTCGAGAAACCTTAAGTTTATAAATACTCTAAAAGCGCCCTGACTGGAATGAAATTCATCTACCAAGGTGAAGATTACCGAAAGAAATTTGCCCTCGTGAGCTCTGGAGCCTTTACCCCAGGAACACCCACCTCGGATCTAAAATCGGATCGATTCCTGGATGCCGACCGGATCGTAGGTAGAGTGAAGGGGTAAAATGTTCTCAAATAGCCACCCAGTATTGGCTCTATGAGAGCATTATATCCCTTCTAAACTAAGATACACCACGCATTTGATCCCTTCTTCAAAACTTGACTGATTTAGGTTGTCTTACTCACAAGTTATAGAGTAATTACTGCATAGCATGGACTATGATCCTCATGGATCACCCAAACGTCATCGTCGTTTTTATCTACCGATTCTGAAAAAGTCTGAAGCGATTCAGTCGACAACCGGGGATCAACAATTCGAGTCACTTGGTTAGGATCCGACTGGCTAATCGTTCAGGAAGAGAGTCCAGGTTGATTAACCAGCCACTTTTCAAAACACAAGATCAGCCTACTTATTTGTGTCCCATTTCCCAGAGAACAGCATTGCGCCCGATTCAGACTGCTCATTTTTCTTTTAATGGCACACTTCACGATGAGAGAGTCCGAGAGTTGTGAGTCCTGAGATTTATACCCGGGATGAACCTGGGACCCTCCAGGCATCGGCCTCAAAACAAGCCACACACCTAAAAACGTNTTTTTTGATTGATCCTCCATTTTTCATAGTCGATGCCAATTATCCCTTTGCACCTCCACTATCCCGACCAGTTACTAGGCGAGGCACATCCACGCTAAAAACCTTTGTACATACTATATGTGGCGCCTAGTCAATTTGTGAGTTTCTTTCCAAATTTTGTTTGGTATTAGGCTGTTTTGGATATCAGAGAGTTATTACCAGTCATTATCACTCAATAATATTTATTATTGTTAGATACTGTAGTCAATACTCAAAAAATACTAGCGGCCAGCTAGACGGATTCACTTTCCCGATCTAGTCGACTATTACGCATTCGGAATTCATCGATTCATCGCAGTGATAATGCATTTCTGATTATTTTAGAAAGCGTTTCTTAGCTATTACGTCGAATATTTATTTATTTATTTAAAATACACTCGTAAGAGTGTGCCCGAGTAAGGCAGAAAGCGGAAAACAACACAACTAGGCAAGGAATATAAGCCTTTATAAGCTCTCAGAACAGGACCTTATCGCCACAGGTTTAGCTCATCATCGAAAAAAAAGCTGACCCCTCAGTTCCTATGATTCCCAGCAATTTGGTAATTATCATCTTTGTGGTACGAGAAGAGCAGATGATTATGACCTTCATTGTTTAAGATCCACTCAACTCAACGCTTTTTCGAGATTTTGTAATTATCTATTACGGTTGTAAGGAGACGGGTTTTCTGTAGAAAATCACTAGCGCAGCAATGCCAGACTCTCTAGAGGCCCGGCCCCAGGGTGTTGTCATTTGAGGTGAATCTAGAGAATGAAGAAAAAACTTGTGCATCAACTCATTACTGGGCTTGTTGTGCCGAACAAACCTAAAAAAGTATTACGTTGAGAAATGAACTGCAGTGGTAGTAGTGCTGAGCGAAACTGTCTTGATGCCTTGACAATCAACAAAAATATCGTTGCATCAAAAAGTACCTCTTTTTCTCTGATACTTCGAGGTCGTTTTCTAGCTTTATCAGAAAATTATGCTCTTTTCCTCAAGTTAGAAATGGGACGTATGGGGGCACCGTCGCACTTTGTTCCTTTCTACAGTTGTTTTCCTTTCTGCAGCCTACTGCCTGACCTCCTAGCATTGGCGTTCAAGTTCGTAACATCTTTTGTGTTTGCAAACCTATACAATGAGGTAATTTAAGTTTAAGAGCAGTCTCTTAGCAGTCTCTTGACTGGACGATTTCGTAGTTGACTGCGTGCTTCAATAGCTTTGGTTCTGAAGAACATGTATTGTTAATGAAGAGTCGTCCTTCTAAGGCTTTTGTGCCGGTTCAGACAACTTCTCTTCCCTTTGGAATTGTAAAGCTCTACGGTATGGCCTTCAGATTTCCACCGTAAACAAAAGATGAGTCATAGTATTTGTTATAGCTGATGCGCATTTTAATGCCACTACTTAGTGTTAGTGTGTATGAGTAACCATATTTTGAGAACCGTAATAAACATATAGGAAACGTACAAATCCAATCTGATTCTCGTCTACACTCTTCCTTCACTGCGAGTTCTCAGCAGTCAGACTCAGACCTTTCTCAAACTCGTGTTGGCTCGTGATCCTTTAGGCATAAGAATACCTGGAAGTATGCCCGAGCAATAAACAAGGCAAACTTTCAGACACAAGGTAATAAAAGGCTTGCATCGGCCGGGAATCGAACCCGGGCCGCCCGCGTGGCAGGCGAGCATTCTACCACTGAACCACCGATGCCTGGCAACTTTGCACTATCTCCCTTAGAAAAGGGCATTTTCTAATAGAAGTTTCAACCTCATCTCATTGAAGCATCATAGTCACATGACCCTCTCGATGGCCATGGCTGAAACTGCAATGTTTTTTCGTACCATAAAATCCAACCGAATTTTTCAAATCAACATTCTTTTAGGAATTGCTCTCTGAGTTCCATGCTTCATGAAGGACCTGGGACCTTCTTTTTATTCCTAATACATTTATTTTTTCAGCTTTTTACATTTGCTCCATCTGGATGCGGCTTATCCGAACAAAACCGTTCCACCCGTGTTCAGCGACTGTGTGGACGAGTTTATTGTTGGGAAGGATGAGAAGTACGCGTCCTGCAATATTACCAGCGGCGATACGCCTTGTTACCTCCTTCAGGTGATACTTGTTTAATGCACCTTATGTTCCTTAGTAAGACCCTTTGTCGAATGTCAAGGTTCTTTCGATTGAGAGAGAATATTCAGATTCCACTGAGCACAGTTTTCTTTTAATACATTCTCATCCGTTCCTGTATTGGTTTCCTCTTATCAAGCCCTGATTCAGAGTCACTGACTTTACTTCCCAGTAGATGTGCTTGGTTTAGAAGTCCAACAATACTTGACCTGCCTTTGAAGCTTTCAAATCCTAAGATTCTCCCATTGGGGTTGCTTTCTTATTCATCCTAGGTTTTTCAACGAGAATATTCCAAGTTGTTGAATCACAAAGAAGGGTAGAAGCTAAGTGAAAGATAAAAAGATGTATCCCGTTGTTGCCCCAAGGGATTGTTTTTAAGGAATTGCACAAGGCGAAAGAGTTACGAAATTATGGTTTTGCCGTCATCCCAATTGTTCTCTCCCTCCTGGCAATGGTCTTGAACGTCACATACTTGATCATCCAGTTAAAGATATATCGGAAAGAAGAGGAGAGGTAAGTGATCTGTGTAATTTGCTTCTTGATCACTTCACTTACTTCATGTGTTTCCCTGCACGACTTCGAGATTCGCAGATAAAGTATAGCCTCTCTGATCAGAATCGGAGACTGGTAGATGAATAAGAAGGGGCTGGATGGGACGACTGAACCGTTCCTTTTTCATTTCATGGTTCCCAGATATTCACTCAGCCAGTGATCCGTAACCCGCTGAATACTGCTATTCGTTTTTATGTATTTGTGAGCGGATTTTGATGTAATCGAACGAGAGCGCTTTGCTTGTCAGGGAACAACTGGTTGCATATCGACATTGAAAACTGCTATGTTTAGAAGTAGCTGATAAAGGATACGAAAAAAGGGTAGAACTGGTAAGAAGAGAAAGAAAGAAGCTTAAGGCGGATTGGATTCAATCGCGAAGGCATAAACGTGAACGGGGATGAAGGGCCAACGCAAACGGTAAGGGTCGTGCTCACTAATGGCCTTACAGCAAGTGGGAAGAAACAATAGGAATAGTAGCACGGCCTTAGAGGAATGGCTAATTATGCCGAAACTGCATTGGCCCCGGACTGCAGCAGGCGCATTGTCAAGGGACAAGGGGCAAACAAGGTAGGAAAGCGCAAAGCTGTAACAGCAATAGGTTATCCAGTAATACAAAAGATTACGACGGTCTAGGAAGGAGGTGCAAATACTGGTTATCAAAGGAGGATAAACAGTAAATAACCACTAAGAAGACGTTAAAGTAGCACAATGGGTAGATAGACTTGACCTACCAGCTCATGTGCTGTTTGGATCTTGTGTGAAATAACTTATTTCAGTGCTCGAAAAAGATATCTGTTTCTGATCAGCCGATCGTTGAGCACGATAATGGCTCTTGTGCTCCTGTACGTGGTGATTATCTGTTGGAAATTGGGTGAATTCGTGTATTCCAGTGCAATGATCTTCTTATTACTCGGTGGTCTCAACTTTCTGTCTATCACGGGTACGAGCTATATTTGAATTGATTTCTTCCAAAACTCCTAATAGGGATCGTATCGTTTTTGATGACTCTCGGAAGCCGGAAAGCATCTGCCGAGAATTTCAAAGAAATCAATTTTTTTTGAAGGCTTAGGAAGTTTACATATAAAGTCAAAAAATACACTAGTAACTTCTATGCACATATCGTATCGGGTGCTTTCATGATGTCGCAGCCGGTTGATTAAATTGAGATTCATCTTCGACTTCCTTGTTTCCAGGTTCGAAGTGATGGAACAGGGGATGCACGGAACAGTTCAAAAGGGGTTTAAAGCCAATCAATACACATAATTTTCGTTGGGCTTCAGCAACAGAGTGGCCCTAACTTAAACTCGTGAAGAGTATTACATATGTCGAATATGGTATGGTGAAACAATTCGTCAACTAGAAATAAATAAGCCAGGAAGAGGAGGCTGGACGTGTTATGCGTAATGGAGGATATCACTATTCAGTCAATCCATAGAACTTTCAGTGTGCTTTTTACACATCGACATTACATTACTATGAGCACATTTTTCAGAGTACATATTTTTTTTCGTCGTGGTCAATAATACTCGAATTTCAGGAACCTATATTGCTCTAACAGTTTTGCTTTACACGGCTATTGTTCATCCATTTTTCTACCAATCACGGATATTTGTCAAACATTGCTATGTTATTATTGCTTTGATATGGGTCTGTTCAACAATGGCATCGGTACGAACCATTACCTTTCTATTTAGGTTCCCATTGCCATACCCCACTTCTGGCAGTATGTACTGCCAGCCTTTCCGGAAGCGCTGCAGTCCTGTTTAGGTGCTAGCGCAGTGTCTTTAGACATAATGTACAAATAAGTTGTAATTGTCAAATGAAGGTTGCTTCCATTGGCTGCTTTCATAGTCCGCCGGCGTGCCGGCGTGCCGGGGCGCGTGCCGGCCGGCCGGCCGGCGTGCCGGCGGAGGCAGTGCTAGGGGGGAGGAGGGAGGCAGACCGTGTAAGGCAAACAGTCCACGCCCCTTCGAAGGTTGTTTGTTTTCAACCCCTCGAAGGGGCGTGGACTGTTTGCCTATCTGTCTGCCTCCCTCCTCCCCGCTAGCACTGCCTCCGCCGGCACGCGCGCCGGCACGCCGGCCGGCGGACTATGAAAGCAGCCATTGGCAGCGCATCCCTAAGCGAAACCTAGTCAATGACCCTTCATACTTTCGCCATTTCTAGGAGAGGTCTACAGTATGCCACAGTTATACTCTTTCAGCTATGCGTCGGTTTGTGGGGTGCGACACTGTTCTATCCAGAAAGCGCTCCAGTTCATTGCAGCTATCGTGGATGTCAGAAACCGTTGGCGATAATTATAGGTTGGCTTCTTGCCTTGATAATTTTTTTCTTTCCTCAAATATTTTATCTATTGAATTCAAATATGTACGTATGCTACTCACTGTTACAGTAATCGGTCTGTCCATTTCGTATGCAACTGTTCTTGGACTATACGCTATGCTCCTTATACGCCTTCACATACGTCTTCATAGGTGTAAAGTAGTAATTAATGGAAGTAACAAGGTATAAATCAATTATTACTGGTACTAATCAAAAACCAAAAGCAGTCTTAATTCGTAAAAGTTCATCTGAAATTTTCTTCATTTCCAGAAAATTGCTTGTTTTTTTCGTCGGTGTACTATGTGGTGCTGTAATTTGTTTTTTTTTTTTTTGAAGCACTGGTAACGGCGGTGTGCTCAAGCAGGCAAAAAGCGTGAATATGGAAAAGTTAGCCCTTAACAAAAATATTTGCGATTGGGAGGAGAATTGAATAACTAAATAACTTGAAAGCTTACGGCGGGTCAGCAATCATGGTCTGTTATGCGCTCATGCATTTGACTCTTATTTGTAATTATAGACGGGTGGAGACGGTTTAGTGGTAAACGGCGCACTATGGCACATGCATGGTAAAGGGTTGCTATCCCGGATCGATATCCGCCTGAGCCAACCGAGCCTGCCAGCTCTTCGGAGTCGACTAGTCGGCTGGTACCAAACTCGCCTGGGAGCATAAAAGTGCTGACATGAACATCGGCTGCCCACCGCAAATCATTATAGGTCACACACGCATTCAATTCACCACCACGATTCCAAATGGAAGTCGAAAGCGGGGGCGCATCCCTCAGACGGGATTCTTCAACGTCTAAAGACTTCATCCCTCATAATCATCGTGGTGTAAGAAAGCCCTCTGTAAGGACTTGTGAAGTCTAAGCGAAGTGAAAGTTAGTGTTTTCCTTTTCCAGACAAGTCTCTATCAATGAACCCACCCTAGATGGGTAAAAAAGAATGCTGGGTCAGGACGACACCGAATCGGAACCAGTTTTCGGACCACTCGGCACGATGCCAACTTCAGCGATTCAGTATTTCTAGATTTTCAACCGTTTGATTTTGACCACCTTTTTTTTCATAAGCTCTTCGTTGGATTACGAAATTGCGACGAATCTTGTGCAAAGGTCTGGAATGAAGCCCTGTTGGGCATGTAGTGCAACTATGAAAACCCTACGGTCTCTTTTGAGAAGGATCAGCAAAATTTAAAGAAGTGAAGTTTTTGAAGAACGTCTTCTTCCGTCTTTAATCGTTAAGCAATCCCTTTTTCGCGGTGCGTTACTGTATTCGACTTCAATTTTCCTTTGCTCAACTCAGCGCTTTCGTGCTCCTCGACATGTATACCAACAAGTGGATCTTGAGGAGTTCGAAAACTCGGTCACTGGGGCAGTAACAGTTTGAGACTCCATCACTTAATCGTGCGTTTAGTACTGGGCGCCACTTATCCCACAAGACTCCTCTTGCACCATCTCCGACCAATCTGAAGACGTACAAAAATAAGATTGATATCAGTATTTGCGTGAAGCACACAGATACAAAAGGAACCGGAAGACCGGAAAGAAAAAAAAAATGAAACCGCTCATATGAACATCAGGTCCTCCGGAATCTTGCAAACTACTTTAAATATCAGGCGTTTCAGTCGCGACCATCGGTGGAACGTCAGATGACACACATCAGAGCGATGAATCGGTTAGGAATGAACATGGCCACATTTGCCGTCGGATCAATACCTATACTTATTGTGAGCATTGTGGCGATGGTGAATTTACGAAGCCTCAGCACATTAGGTGAAATACTTCGCTTTTTCTGTCACCTAATTTTGACCCCCCTAAAATTGAAAGTGGCTCTGGTCTGAAATGATTCTGGTCTGAACTGCGTTTGTATGTACCAATTTCTCCTTGGTGAGTCAAGCTTATTTCAGGGGAAGGCGAAAAATCACCATGTAAAACGTATCGAAATGCTCATCTCTTCGTTGAAGTAGAAGTTTTAGCAAGTACAGCAGCAATAGTCTGGTAGGTTATTCCTCTTCGGCTACTGATCATGAAGGCGTGATGCATATTTTCAGGTTAGTGGCAATGATCCTCGATCCGATCATCAACACAGTAGCTGATCGGAAAATCTTGGCCATGCTCCGAACATGGGTGGGCTTTTGTATCGGATTATTTATTCATTTAATACACACGATAGTGTGCCATACAATACAAAAGCAAAAACTGTAAGGCGATGGTCCTTTGAAAACAGGAAAATAATGTATACATTAGCCTAAGAAAAATTGAGGATAACGCCAGAGACGGAAGCAAGAAGCTAGTAAGGAAGGATTCATGAAGTAATGCTGGGACCTTTCTCATATGAAACAGGAAAGCTGTTTACCCCTGTGAAAAAGGCTTCTTCGTATTACACTGGCCTATTATGCCAAGGGAGGGAGAGTAAGTAGGGCTTGCTGACAACAAAGCTCAAATACGAAACAAATTTGATTTGGAGCCACAGGCGAGTAGACGAAAGGAGACTACAGGCGGAAGGATAATCATCTCACAGGATCCTCAAACAGCCAGCACACATAAAAATGAATGGATTAATGCGCATAACGGCATGAAATAAGTCTAAATGCGTCACAATTCGAACTCCCAAGAATAGGGGAACATAGAAAAGACCTTGGTTTTAGTAACACCTCACAGCGAATAGAGAAAAAGCTGATGAGCACGACAATGCTTATCCACCTGCACAAACTGTAATAGATCCTGTAACAAATAACCATTTCATTTCGGAGAAGAGTTCGGCCTTGTCCTCCTGACTTCGCCTTGTGGGAAGTCGAGCGAAAGTAAAAGAATAGCTTCCAAGGAAGGGGGCAAGGTGTCCGCCAAAACTGGGAAAAGTAATATGGCGAAAGGAAAGTGTAAAAGCTACTGCAACGATTTGGCGAAATTTTTACTTCCAAGAAGCAAAATAGATCATGAACCTATCCGACCACAAACAACAAGGAAACACTTCACCAGTGCCCATGCATAACTCCTGGATACTATGGAAGCTCGCAAGGTTTACGACTTATTAACAGAAATTCGGCTTTGAGCCTACCCTGGAAGTGTAATGGGTGAAGAGCTCGGTACCCGTATAGCACAATACATTCGTTTATAACTCGCCCTCTTTTGAGACTTTCGGTTTAAGTACTCCGCGAAACAACCGGTTCAAGTACTCCGCGAAACAACAACAACTAATAGAACACAAGTCAAGACTTTGAAGCCCTTTTCGAATTTTGGTCTTGACCTTCCCATTATTACAAATTCTAGAAAATTCATAGGGTTCTCTATAGGCTGATATGGGGGACGGGACTTACGTGCGCCCAGGATGCGCGCGGCATCTTGCGCGACGAGGTTCGTGACAATTGGTACGACTCTGACGCCAATTTTCGGGGCATAAACTCGAAGTAGACTAGTTTAATAGGGTCAAATGATCCTTCTTATTACTCTACTTCAAATTTGGGCCCAAATGATAGACGCCGAAGTAGTTCAAATCCTCACGATTTTCGCCGCACAATTTGCCGCGCGCATGTACATACATATGTACACATAACCGCTGATGTGTCGTGCATATAAAAATAACTAATAATTTCCTGGATACAGAACCTTTCCCCATTTCGTTCTTGATCGCAATTAGCATTGTAAAAATACAGTTATACATAAAATCGTCTTGATTGAAAAAAATACCCGGCACCATACCTTTTTTATTCTTCTAGAAACGACCAGCGACCCTCGATCATGTGTGATGAGATTCTTATCAAAGCTGTCACCACCAAAGTACTGCATGGGTTACGGCTACTACAAGAGCTCACAAGAATTATTTCACAGCCCCAAAAAGGAATTGATTTCAGGACGCCTCACAAAAGAACCAGAAATAATCAAAATGTGGATCAAATGCTACATCTTTATCGATCTTAATGTTTTTCTCAGGTTGACATCTCCTTTTTCAGTGGCACTGTCTTAGAGGCCATGTGAAATCCGTTCAACGACGAATCACCGAAAGTACTCGAATAAGCAAAGAGCGTAGTGAAGAGCAGCAATCATCTGTGAAATGAATTCATGTGTTTCCATAATCGTTCTGTTTGAAATAAGATTTCTATTGAGTAGGACTTAATGGGTAATTTCATGCTGTGGTTACAGTGAAAAACTTTTTTTTGAAGACGTTTCGTCACCCACATTCCTCAAGTACCACTACATAAGTAACCGCCAGTTCGCTCTGTGATCTTTCTTTATGTTACGCTTTGTATATATGTATTGGTTGCGATCTTACTGAGAGCTTACTGTGCTTTCCGATAGAATAATAAATTTATTGGAGCATGAATCCATGAAAATCCACTGAGCTTTGAGATCTCTTCCAGGCAAAACTCATAGTCTACGATGGTCGTGACGACCACGTGTAGCGTTCTGTTTTGCTGGACCCTGCCGATGTATGCAAAAACCCTATTGTATAAACTATTGTAACAGTTACAGCAGCGCATCAGAGCGCATACCGTAGCATTACTCATTAAATATTTTCTCAACTTGCTGCTCATTTTAAGTCACTGAAAACGTTGTTCAATCAATTCCGTGTCTGGTGGTTCCAAAAAAAATTTGATGCGAAATAATGGAATAGACTGTTAAACATTCAGCACCACCGACACTTAGCTACAAGCTTTGCCAGTATATATCCACCACCAAGGATTGGCCGAAGAAAGGATAATTTGCACTTAGAAAGTAAGCCATAGTAATAACACGAGAGAGATACTAAAACTTTTCTGTGTCTCGACTATCGCTCAGGCTGCACACCATTGGGAGCAGGACTTACTTATAATATATATGTATTTCATATATAACATTTTCAAAGTTCATCCACAGAATAACATAAGAATAGCTAAATTCGTCTCACTTTTGAAATAATTTTCTTGTATGCAATTATACACTGACTTCTCATGCAATAGTCCCCTTGCATAGTATGGCTCGTGAGAGCACGGCGAATAAAGGGACGAGGTCATCTCACATTATTTCGACTCGCTTGCAATCGCCAGGCCCTATTGGAATGACAAAAAGGCTTGCATTCTGCTATTTCTGCCCACTCTGCTGACGCCGGCTGCATAGGATAGCCTGAGAAGTGCTACTGACGTGAATGCTGTTGTGCAGATTGCTATAACTGATCCAGTTTGCAGAATCCCACGGTTTTGCTACAGCTCGTGTGATGGACAGACCTCGTGGTTTGAACAGCCCGAACTCGCTGTGTGGTAAACGATCATCAGCTTGAAAAATTCGTAAACCATTCAGAGAGGCAAAAAACCTAGAGTTATGTGGCTACACAAAGTGTAAGCAGTCAAACCATGGGGAGACAGTAGAATATGGTTGCCCAAAATTCGATAGTACATCTGTAATACTACAACACATGAAAAAAAATCGAAAAAAGCGCTAAAATTACAGTAACTGGTAAGAACACTAGCAAACAAATCATCAAGTGCTCAGATTTATCGGCATCTGAAGAGCACCGGACACCCATCATATCTAGTCAATCCAGCTGTTCAATAGGGTTACGTTTATACGATAATCAAAAGAACTCTCAAGCTTGGCATGTTTGTAACGAAAAATTTTACCGTAGTTGTATGATCGAATAGAAAGTAAGCTTCTTGCAAGCAAAAATTACTCAAGCATTACCTCATGACCACTCGAATATGAGATAATCACAAATTTTACGCCCTAATTGGTGCTGCCAAGCGTTTCATCAGATATTATCAGTCAGAGATCACATATATGGATCGATTTGTGCGACGCATAGAATTGGTCGACACCAATCGAATAAAATGTGGATACTGTGAATAAATATGTAAGACTATTCAATTATATGTTCTGTCGATGTCGTATCAAGGTGGTAACGCTGTCCGAATAATTGTAGAATAATATTTTATTAGAAAAAAGGAACAACGGAACACAAAACGGTCAATAAAATGCAGAGAGCAAAAAAAGTGCTCGACCCAATGTGTGGGGCCCTTTGTACCACTCTGAGTACAAAGTCCAAGATGGTCCTCTTTGTTCTGGAAACCATGTATTAGGCGGGAAACTCCCAGGTATCAAAGTTCGACCGCCATTTGCTTAATTGTCACGTAAGTTTGCTGGAATCAAATGTAAACCAATCTTGATCTAGCGCTCTGCGATATCGCACATCTTTTTCAATCACCTTTAGCCTAGTTCGCCCTTTACAATAGTTTTAATCTTTGTATTTTCCGTCATTGGTAAAACATTCACTCGGACGATAGAACCCAGACAGTTACAGTTTCAGTTGATTTCTAGTTTGTTCCTGGAAGGACGCTAAAAGTCTGTTTCAGACAGGTAAAGGATAAAGTTAAAGAATAAAGTTTTTTGCGTTAATCAATCAGGTCTGAGGGATGCGCCCCGCATTCGACTTCCATTCGGAATCGTGGTGGCGTAATGAGTGCCTATGTGGCCTATACTACGACTTGCGGTGGCCAGCCGATATACAAGTCCAGACGAGTCTGGTACCAATTAACCTACCTCGGAGGAATAGAAGGGTTGGCTGAACTATTCGGTATTCGAACCCCTGACCGTGCGTGTGAGACAGTGCGCCATTTACCACTACAATACCTCCGCCCATTACCACCGTCAGAAAGGTGCTACCAATTATACGGTTGAACAGCAAATAAGCATCTCATAAACAAAAACTACAAAAGCATTGCCTGAGGACCATTCGAATATAACACGACTAAAAATTTGCTCATGGCACTGCCAAGCGTTTGACCAGATCAACCGCAGATCACATATAACAATCGATTCGCGGGGCACATAGGATGGGTCGACACCAATCGCGCATCCATCCATTTCAACCAAATTTTACTCCACTTTCTCCGCCGTTTCCTATCCTAATCATTTTAGGTTGCTAAATTTTTGGCACTTTGTTTACTTTACTTTAATCATTACTTTTTATATATGACTGCACTTCATTACAGTAGTTTAAAGTTTGATTTGGTCTCTCAATATATTTATCATAATAGGCGGTCATAATATATTTGGTCATAGCCGGTCATACGCAAGATATCGCGCTCCATGGTACAGTTTTTCCTGCGAACTAAAGTATCATGCAGGTTCTTTTTTTATGTTTTACCTAACGCGCCTAAAACGATTATTGGAGCTTTTTGTTCGATTATGTTACATGTTTGCCATTTTTTAAAAATAATTTTCGAACGTAAAAGTTTACTATAACTCATTGCAGTCGAACTCTGGCGATCAAAAGTCTCCAATCAGATGTTGTTATACAGAGACAAAGAAACAGCAAAAAATTTTGGAGCTATTCCTGGTAGCTATTAAGCTATTCCGCCGCGCTTATTTCCGTGTTCTAATTTGAACATATCTCAACTTTTTTGTCCCAGCTAAAATTTTGAATCTCCAATAGTTTACACTCCTTGCTAGTGCTAACGCGATTACTCTTTTATAAATAATCATAATTGAAGGAAGCAGTAATTAAAAGAAGTTCGTAGGAACATGACGATTTGTGTAATCTACAGGACTTGAGATCACAGCGCTACTTGTCATATTCTACCTACTCAATACGTGTTTTACATGTACAACTGTAGGTCCGCAGTCAGAGTAAGAGGCGTGAAAATACAATTATTGAATGGGAAATAATATCAAGTGTATGAAGAATGTTCTGAAGCAAATTCGGTTACTTGATAAAGCAATAACTTAGAATATGTTGCAGCTTTTCTGAGGGATGGTGAAATTTTTTGATTAGGGGTTTGAGCCCGAAATTTGTAATCAAAATGAGTTAAACATCGGAAAACGATTGAAGAATCATTTAGAGGAACTGAATATTATTGAGGGCAAAGGGAAAAGAGAGTAGAAGATTGAGGAAATGTTATCCGATTGCACTAATTACATGATAAACTGAATTAGATTAGACCTAAACGTCTGCAATCCTTACTGTATATAAATTGAAGGAAACAAAGTACCGATAGACAAACCATCAAGAATCTGGAGAATTTTGATGCATGGCACACCTCGCCCATTTCAATGTGGAAATTTTTGATTGAAGAATAGGATAGGAAACCGTGATTCCCGACAAAGGAGGAGTAGAAGAGATAGGAAGCTGACTTGATAAGAAAGAATCAATGATAGGTACAATTCGATTTGATTCAATTTGAACCCCTTCAATTGACTGAAGGGAGTACCGATAGAAACAATATCGAAATGTCTCGAGGAAAATTCAAGAGAATGGCACACCTCGCCTCTATGGCCTTTTCTATTGAGGAAGGGAAGATAGGATGCCGCGATTCTATACGGAGAAGGCAGGAAGTACAAAGAAGCTGGCCTGATGGAAGAAAATTTATAATAGTTCCGATCAAGTCAGATTTAAACCGCTTCAACTGATTGAAGGTAAGTACAGATAAAAACAACATCGACAATTTGAAGAAATTTAAGCGAATGGAGCACCTCGCTTCTTTCGACGTGGTCTTTTTTTATTGAAGCAGGTGGATAGGATACCGTGAACCTGTGAAGAGGAGCCCCCTTCACCTGATGGAATGTAAACACCGATCAGAATAAAATCGAAAATTTGATTGAAACTTAAGTGCATGGCGCGCCTCGCCTTTTTCAATGCGGTCTTTTTTTGTTGCAAGGGAGGACAGGATACAGTGATTCCATGCAAAGAAAGCAGAGGATAAAAGAGAGAGGAAGTTGGTCTGGGTGAGTAGAATTTTGGGTAATCATTCAGATTGGAGCCAGATCTTTCATTTATTGAAAGTAACGTAAGCGCTGATAGAAATACCATCGAAAATCTGAGAGAAATTTAGGTGCAGGGCTCCCTTCGTCTTCTCGAATTTATTGCAGCGTAAATGTAGTTGCAGTCGAGAGGTCGCCTCGCGTTCATACAGTTATGGGTTCCACAGGGGGCGCGCAACTCACGCGTGACCCCTTAGAGACGCACGCGCACGCAGCACGCAATGCATCACCCAGCCGATTTCGTAATTGTTTCCATGTGGCGTTACAGTACCCTTGGATTGCAGTGGGCCCAACGATATTTCTACTAGTTCATCACATGGCCATATGCTGATATAATATACTTTTGCTTTTCTTTTCTTAGTTGAATGGTTCTTATTGCTTATTCCTCAGTGTTCTCTTGGGTGAAAATGTAGTTGGAGGGGGGGGCCACGCGGCGGCGCGGCACTTTCCTCGTCTGGCGCTCTCCCCAGCGAGATAGTAGAGAAGGAAGAGTAGTCGAGCCCATAATGGTGTTTAGGGGCGTCATAGCTTTTTTGTGTTATAACTGTGTATTTTTCACCTAATTTTAGGAAGGAGAGGGGCTCCGGGGTGGGTGAGCCAATTGGACGTTCAACTTTTATCATTTCACAGCTTTTTGCACGAGATAACCACTTCACCCACCCCGGAGCCCCTCCCCTCCTTAAAAAATAGGTTTTATCGTCTCAGAAGAAGAGTATCCATCATATGCAAACATATCAACATGTGTCGAGATTTAGTTTGTTCCAAATTTCGAAACACATCAGCACAACCTCACCATTCCTTCCCAGACTCAGGCCCACTACTATCTCGTTGGGGAGAGCGCCAGACGAGGAAAGTGTCGCGTCGCCGCGTGGCCCCTCCCAACTACATTTTCACCTTTTCTTGCAAAGTCACATCAATTTTATATTGTTATAGATATGTACTTTGTATTGCTTTTATTCCGTGAAACGCTTTTTTTTGATTAGACAATTACAATGATTATCTCTCGTCTATCGCTTGCCATTTGTAGTCTCTCTATTGAAAGAAGGGAAGTTATCCTAAAAGTGACTTTTTTCAGAAACTCGAAATGGAACGAGAAGCCGAGGCAAAATGTGTGAGTGCACCAAATAATTCCTGCCTATACTAGACAGTTTCATGGATTCATTTAATTGTTGAGCTAATTTTGTTGTTGTTACTGCTGATGCGCGAGTTATTACACTGGCACGCTTTTTGGGATTTTAACTTGTGATGAGTTCTTTCTTGTTACACCTTGTTTCATGTTCTGTTTGTTTCTTTTGTAATCCTTACTATATATAAACGGCAAACGTCCGTTTGTCTGTTTTTCTGTCTGTCTGTCCTTCCGAAAGTCACGTAGGCACGATGTGGATGTGAATATCACGTGAGCGCGTTGAGGAAACAGTTATGAAATGGGAAGTCAACCGACACTATTATTGGTACTCTAATAAATTGTAGGTAAGCGATAGTGATATAAGGTGCACGCGTTAGCATGCGTGCGTGAGCAACTGGTTAAAAAGGAAAAAGGCACCTTAACCAAATGAGGGATACAAAACGAGCGCCGTAGAATGTCAGAACGAATGGTTTATCACCTTTCATTGAACATGCGATGCAGAAACACCACTTCCTCGAGCTGACTGCCCTTGTATCTAACCTTTTCACCAACTCAACTATTTCTATCTAATTACTTTAATTTCTTTTTCAGATGCACCACAACCTCCCCCTTTCCTTATTCATCATCGTTGATACTATCGAAGTGCCCTTTTGCTTTTGAAGGCTTCAAAAATCACTTTGCACGCTTCGAATGAAAGTATGCTTTCAAGCTAATTCTGTACTAACCTCCGCTTGAGCCGCTTCGGCCAATTTCTTTTCCCTCTGAGCCTTCGCCACTTCAACCTGTTTCTCATTAATTTCATCTCTCAAGGCGTTGATCCTTGATGACAACAACTCCGTGTACTCGGTTTTCATTTTTAGTCGAGAAGAAAGCTCTTTCTTTTCCCTTGATAGACGATCGATCTAAAGCGAAATTATGAAGTTATAGTAACACGAAAAAAGTTTCATGTTCCCTCATTAACCAACACTGTTATCTTTAAAGTTTATGAAGAAAGTTCTGGAAATGAGTTTTTTCCACTCCAGGTAGCGCTCTATGAGTTCTATCAGTAATCCTACTATTTCTTCAAAGCCCGACAAGTCATAAAATACCTCCAATAGTCGCACTCAATGTAATAAGGTCAAAAAGACTAAACCAAGCCTCAACCTGTTACTGAGAAAGCATAGCGAAAAAAAATAAAGAAAAAACAAATAAGGCGCTGTAATTACCTAACCCTGTCAGACTGTAGATAATATTAACCTGACGTAACAACCGCATGGCATATGCATATAAATTGTTTACTAGAAACCAACAGTTACCGTTTTGTGGCTCATTTCCAACTCGTCCTTATGTGTTTTTGCAACTTCCAAAGCTTTATTTTTCCGTTCAATGACATCCTTCAGTTCAGCGATTTCCTCCTTGAGCGATGTAACTTCTTCCTCGGATCCGAAATCGGAGCTGTTCTAAAACATCAAAGCCTATTGATTCGCGTTAAAGCTTCTTTGAAGTAGCCCTCTTCTGAAAACATTGTAGAATATTGTGCGAACACTTCACTGTTTTGAATGCCCATCTTACCGTTCAAAGGAGAAGTTTGCGTAAGAGGAAGGACGTAGCAGTCGGGCTCATCCTATCATTCCTTCGCATGTTAGCGAATATAATTCGACGTGAAGGGATTCCACTTTATAAAATCACTGATTAGAACTGACTGATAGGGGAAAGGCGGTTAAGCGAGCGCAAGAGCTAAGCGAATCCTCGATAAGTTACATTGATCACTTCCATCCCCCCAGGCGGTCAATAATGAGCGATGGGAACCGGATTTCCCCGAGAACCAGTAGCATAAACGATTTTTAGAAAAAAATGATGAAGTCATGCGCAACCGATCACAAATTTAACGAAGATGAACTCTTACCAATAGCGCATTGATTCGAGCACATAAGTCTGCATTGTCTTTCCTGAGCTGCTGCAACTCCTCCTCACTTGCAGCCATTGCTGTCAAATACTGCTCCTCGAACTGTCTCTTAATGTTTTCTCGAGCATTATCTGCTGCTTCAATCTCCTTTCTAGCTGTAGCCAACGCTTCTTTTAGCGATTCGATTTCTCTTTCCCGCTCCGACGCCAAAGAATCTACGTCTTTCATAGTTGCGGCCTGTAAAACATATGTGTTGTGCAATCAATAAAAAGTGCGTCATGAACCAAAACTCTCACAGATAATCCTTCAATTTTTTCCAGTAACGCGTCCTTTTCTTCTTTCCACCGTTTAGAGGCGCTAGCATATTGATGGCGAGCATCTTCTGAACTGGACTCAATCTCATTTAGTTTCTCGCGAAGGCATTCGTAATTGATTCGTACTTGCTCCAGTTCATCTTTAGTCGATGACAAGTCACTCTAAAACAATTCTATTCTAATTATTGCTAAGCAATCAAACATATTCAAAACAATACCTTCAAAAAAAGGGCACAGAAACAGGAAAAGTAACTATTTTACAGAAAGAGAGGATGTGCATTATACTCCATTTCACTAAAAAGCTTTAGGACGCATGGTCTTGTGACACAACTTTAATCTCCGCATCATAAAATTACGCGTACTGCAAAATCTGTCTGCTTACACGGTTCCGAATTAATCACTGAAACTCACCTTAGCCTGCGAGGCTGACTTTCTCGTTTCACATAACACTTCGTGAAGCTCATCAATACGATGAAGTAATCGAGTTCTATCGGCAGGGTTACCCTCGTTCTCCAGCATACATGACTACAAATTTTATCATCGACGTGCAGAAATGACAAAGAGGTCCAACAGGTGGTGAGGCGAGTATGGGATGACAATTAGAGGTAGTTTATGGAAAAACTACAACCGAGGTCGGAATGAAATTATGCACACCTTCAAAGAGGCATTCTCCTCTCGCAACGCCACTATTTCTTCACTGAGCTTTGCATTTTCACGCCTCGTATCCTCCATTTGTTTCTGTAAAGTGTAATAAACAATCAGAACTACAAAAGGGTTAGGGTTGGCCAGACCTCCAGAAACAAAGCTCCAGTTTCGACGTCTTGCATGCGTCCCAAAGCAGCTTTCAATGATTCAAACTCATTTGCAAACTCTTCCCTTTGTTCCTAAAGCTCATAATGGTAAGTCTGGGAAAATTGATTCACCAAAATAGTCTGGAGTTTCTGTACTATTTACCTCAAGCTCGTTACAGTGCTTGGTCTTTGTAGAAAGCTGTTCGACAAGGTACGCATTTCCCTTCTTGAGTGTAGCCACTTCGTCCGATCGATCTTCTGGGTATGGTTCCAAAGTCTGAAAGGGAACACGGTGTGACTACCAAACAGCTAGACGGTTGTGGTAAGTTAGTATACAATAAAAAGCAGAAAATGATACTTCCATTGTAATCGAAGCTCTCTTACCTGTACTTCGATATCCGTCTTGGTAATCGATCGTCTTCCACTTGGAACGAAATTTGGGATAAGGAATACTGAGCTCGCCTTTTCCTCTGTATCCATTCCTGTGCTTTGAATCTTTTCGTCCTAGAAAGAGTGTTACAACCTCAGTCATGAAATACATTGGCCATATCATCCTACTATATATAACGCGCTAAGTGTGTCTGTTGGTTTGTCTGTGTGTGTGTGTGTGTGTGTGTGTAGTTGTGTGTTTGACCGGAAATTCATAACTCCGGTTCCAGTGGACCTAGAGAGTTCAAATTTGGTAGGAGTACAGGGGGCAGGATAGGAACACTAATGGTGGGTGGCGTGGGCGAACTCCGCCCACAGGGGGCGTGGTTTGTGCGAAATAAATGTTTGACCGGAAATTCATAACTTCGGTTCCAGTGGACCTAGAGAGTTCAAATTTGGTAGGAGTACAGGGGGCAGGATAGGAACACTAATGGTGGGTGGCGTGGGCGAACTCCGCCCGCAGGGGGCGTGGTTTGTGCGAAATAGATGTTTGACCGGAACTTCATAACTCCGGTTCCAGTGGACCTAGAGAGTTCAAATTTGGTAGGAGTGCAGGGGGCAGGATAGGAACACCAATGATGGGTGGCGGAGCCGCACTCCGCCCTTAGGGGGCGTGGTTTGTGCGGGAACACATAACTC